CCCCCCCCCTCCTCCCTTGTCCCTGGGTCTACGCCCCGATATGACGAAGCTCAGCCCGCCGGCCCTGCCGACCATTGGCCATGTCGATCCCAAGGCCTCGACGGACGTCTCGGTCGCCGATCCCACCTCTGCAGATGCCTCGACCCTGGACCAGGGCACGGCTCCTTCCTCGGCGGCGGTCCTGGCTGGTGCCGGGCCCGACCTGCTGGCCGGGATGACGCGCGGGCAGAAGCACCAGCTCCGCCGGACCAATCCCCTCCTGTACAACCGCGTGAAGAGCATCCGCGTATTGCGGCTGCGCAACCTGCTGCCGATTGATCGGCGCCTGCCCCTCGTGGCGTCATACACCGAGACCTCCTCGGCACGGGAAATCCCGGCCGAGTTTATGGCGGTGGCCCGTGCAGCGGCCACCGAGGCCGACGGGTCACAGGGCGGTCTGCAGACCACCGACGGGGTGCCCGCGTCGCTGCACTATCTGAATGAGTTCATCCGATGCCTCGGCAGCGCGCCGATCATCCTCAGCAGCAAGGTCTTTGATATTCACAGCCCGGCCAAGGAGCTGACCGAGACCATGGCCTGCTTCGCGGCCTGCTTCTCGCACCTGCTGGCCAAGCAGGCTCTCAAAACCGCCTCCAAGAACATGTTCCGAAAGCGGACCTCCCCCCTGGTGACCGATGCTTCGCGCATCAGTGGGCTGGCCGCGGCGGCTCTCGGCGGCTTTGACCCGCAGGACTCCAAGCACACGGCCTTGCTGGCCGTTGGCGATGGATCCACCCCCCGTGGCGGAATCATGTTCGCCTGCCGGACCAAGTGGCAGTGCTTCAGCATCGATCCCCTGATGAAGGTCAAGGGGCCCTGGTCGGAGGTGAATCGCCTGGTCCCGGTCCGCTCCACCATCCAGGCCTTCAACCTGGACGATCACTGTGGCGACATGGAGGTGGTGCGTTCTCCCTCTCTCCCTCTCTCTCTCTCTCTCCCTCTCTTTCTCCCTCTGTCTCTCTCTCTCTGTCTGTCTCCATCGTTTGTCTCCTCTGTGGCAGCACCAGCTGACATGGTATTGCTCCTTCAATCTCCCGGACGCTTCTTGGCGTGTCGTCTTCTTCTGGTCGCGTTGGTGCCGCAGAAAAACATTGTCCTTGTTCTCATGCACTGCCATGTCGGTGTAAATGAGGCCCTCCGTTACTTGCTGCCGCCGTACCGGAAAACCTGGCCCGAGAAGGTGGGCATCATTTCCTGCCCCTGCTGCAATTTCGCCCAAATTCAAGAGTCCCTCTTTGGCCTGCCCCCGGTGGATGTGTGGTACGATGTGCACTGCCTGTCCAAGGACAACGAAATGCGCGTGTGGCATGTGGCCACCCCGAGCCAATGGGAGGCTCTGCGTCGCGGAGTGGACGAGTGGGATGCCAGCGTGCAGACGATCATCGCCGAGAATGATGATTTCCTGGCCCGGCGCACGCGCGAGGGGGTGGAAGCCGCCGCCGCCGCCGCTGCCGCCGCCGCCGCCTCTGCCGCCCCTGACGCCACCGCCGAGGCCACCACCGCCTCGGCTACCCCTGCGACGACCGCCTCGGCTCCGAGCCAGTAGCCGCCGCCCTCCACGCGTGCACCTGTGCCAAATCGACATCTGCCCATTTCATCATCGCCCCCTCCCCCCATCTCCGCTCATAGAATAATTCATCTCTGATTTAGACACCGCTCTTTGGAAGGGGAAATGTGTCTATGGGGGGGTTGGCCGGGCACAGAGGACCGAAGTCGGGAGAAAAGCAAAGAGCAGGGAGGGGTGGAAAAAAAGAAGCTCCAAGAGAGAGGGAAAGAGAGAACGGCACTACATCTTAGAATGGAGCCAGGCACGCAGGTCCACCAGCGCACCGGTCAGGGTACCAAGCAGGATGCTGACCACCGAGAAGGACCGCACCATGGACTGGGCATTCTCCGAGGGCGAGCGCAGCGGGCCGCTTGAGGAGCCAGCAGCGGAGGCTGCCCCGGTCGGCAGGAGCGGCCGCGCCGACTGCCCCAAAAGCAGGCCATCCTGGCTGAGAGCCATGCGCTGGGTCTCAATGCCAAAGAGCCGGCCCCGGCGGAAGAGCATCGCTCCATAGAGGCCGGTTAGCACTAGGGATGCCACGCCGAAGGAGACGGTGCCCCGGAGATGAGGCCCCCAGCGCTGGATGGCCGACGGCTCGGACGGGGGAGCGGCGATCGCCGCCGGCTCCGCGGCCGTCGAAGACTCCTCGGCGCTGGACTTGCCCCGGGTCAGCAGGTGCGTCATGCCGAGGGACACGGCGCCGGCCACCGTGAAGAAGGTCGCGCAAAAGAGACCCGCTCGGGCGGCAGTGACCATGCCATTCATGAAGAGAGCTGCCGGTTGCCGCGCAAGCCCGGCAGACGGGGGAAACACCGCGAGACAATGGGGGAATGAGGGGATGGCGCAAGGTCAGGGGGAGGGGCGGGGGGGGGGAGGAGGCCGGCGAGTCAGAGAACTAACAAGACCGGCAAGAAGACAAGGGGACGTACATGACAACATAACCGGCGCACGGGCAGTGTGGAACTTCATGCGATCCGCGCTGGAGAGGGAATTCAGCTTGATGGTCGGGTCGACGTCGGCCCGGCCGAAGCGCTTCAGCCGACGGTCCCAATCGGCCGAGGAGGTGGCCACAGAGCCAATCTTGAAGGGGTCGGTGACGATGCACGGCGCTGTCAGTCACACTGCATGGCACATGCCACAGGGGAAGGGGGGGCAGGAAGGAAGAGAAAAAGTTCGAAAGACGACAGGACCCGGAGGGCGCGGGCGGGAGAGAGAGGGAGAGAGAGAGAGAGAGAGAGCGAGCGAGAGCGCGCGAACGTACCACACCGCCACCAACAAACCCCAGCACTGAGCCGGCCACGAAGGCCCGGCTGAAGTTGATCACCTCGTTGGTCTCCAGGTAATCCCGCGAGCTCTCGAGGGGGGAGCCATCAGCCGAGCGGGCGAAGTCCTCCGGCGGGTAGGAGAAAGGGTTCGTCTGTCCGGCATGCAGGCGGGCCAGATCACGCTTGATTGCGGCCCAATGCGCGGAAAAAGAGGGCCAGACGCCCTGGGCAGGGCCGGGCGTTTGCGGGCCGTCCGAATTGGCCATGGGAGAGGGAGCAGACGAGGACATGGGAAGGGGCCTGGGGGTCGGGCAGACGACGTGGGAAAGGAGTGCGGAGAGTTTCGTGTATAGGGGGAGAGGGAGGGGGAGGGGACGGGGGGAAGACGGGAGAAGGCGAGGGGGGTGTCCGGCCATCGGAGGTGTCCGTGTGGCAGGGCCACGCCGCCTCTTGTACATCGCCGCGGATGCGCCCGGCCCCATGCCCTCCCCCCCAGTCAACCTCCCCCGAGGAACAGCCGTCGGGGGGGGGGGGGTCGTGCTCGCGCTCTGGAGGGCCTCGATCGGCCGCTTCGTTGGCACGTGCGGCAGGTCATTGTTCAGATCGGCAACATCTTCCGGGGTATTTGGGCCGGTGTCTCTCTGGCGGGGGGGCAACGGTCGCCGCGGCGGTCCAGAGCAACCCCTCCCGTCCTTGCGGCCCCCCTCTCCGCTTTCCCGTTCCCCCTCTCCCCTCGCCGCACGCCCAATTACACCCGCCCCCCCCCCCCTGCCGCCAGCCGCGCTATCCTGGCCGCCCCTCTTTCGAGTTCGGCACATGGGGGACACCTTGAGTGACCACTCCGGGGGGACTCCCCTGGAGAAGTCGGCGGCGGACCCCTTCCTCCCGCGGTATACGCTGGTTCGGACGCCGGCCCGGTCCCAGGGCGGCCGATCCGGATCGGCCGGCCCCTCGCCGGCGCTCCCGGCCATGGATGAAGACACATCTCCTCCCATGCCACCGGCTCCCCTTCTGGCTTCGAGCATTCCCCCTTTGGCTACTTCTTCCTCGCAACTGATGGCCTCGCTCCGCCAGGCTGATCCCTCCCTGAGTGTAGGCCCGGCCTCGGGGGCACCGGCGCCGGGCGACCTGTCGCCATCACGATTCCGCGGCGGGGCATACCTCCAGAGCCGGCCCGCTTCCGCACCGCGGCCGCCCCTCCGCGGCCATGGGGACATCCCCCTCCCCCACGCTGATCGCTCCTTCCTGGCCATTTCCGATCGTAAGCGCGCGTTAGCCTCATCTCAGGTACGCCGAGCTCGGATGCGTCCTCCGGCGCTTCCCTGTCTTCCCTTCCTCCCCCCTCTCCTCTTGCCATGCGACTCCCCTCAACATGTGTAAGTCACTGACAGGCATGGCCCCGATGCACTTGCGAAGCGTTCGCGCGAGGTCCTTCTGGATCAGGTTAACAAGCTAATGCAGCGCCGGGATCACCTTGCGTCCACGGTTCGGCAGATGGTACCCCCCTTGGCTCCCTTTCTCCCCATCAAACTCCCCGCCTTCTACTGACCATGGACTCTTGTGCCGCCGCTGGTGTTGCCCCCCGTCTGCCGCCGACGGCGATGACGACGACAACCAAGCGCGAACACCATTTGAACCTCTGTTCGCGGCTGGTGGCCCGACAGCTGCTCAAGGCCGATGCCACGCCTGATGATGTGGCCCTCCTGGCGGTTGATGGGCTCCGAGGTGTGTGTGGCTTTTCCCCGCCCCCACCACCACTGCCCGTGCTTTCCTTTGTGGCCTCTCATGCGTTTGACCCTGGAGATGCATGCTACTCACTCCGACCCTCGCCCGCGCCTCTGCTCCCGCCCCCCCCCCCCTCTCCTGCCCCTCCTCCGTGTGCCCTCCAACCTATCCCAGATATGGCTGCACGGATCGACCGCGGCGAGTGTCGGCGCTTTTCTTCCCAGTCCAGCGACGTTCCTGCCGATGGCACTGATGACGATCTCATCGGCTCGTCGCAACTCCTGTCGGAGCTGCGGAGCCGGGTGCAGGAGAAGCAGGCCCGGCTGGCTGACATTCAGAGGTACTCCCGGCAGAGGATGCCCTTGCCCCAAGTGACCCCCCTCTGTGGGGTTGTCCGTTTGCTGATATGTCCCCGACCACTGTCCCCTCGAAAGGCGCCTCCGTGAAGTTCAACAATCCTCGAACACGGCCAAAGAAGCTGCTTCCGACATTCCGGCAACCGGCAATGTGCACCGTGCCAACAGCCCATCCAGACGGACATCCATCACCCGCGGCTCGCTGGGCAGCAACTCCGCCCCGGGAGAAGCGACCTTGGCCACGGGGGGCCCGGTGACTGCATCTCCAGCTGCTCCTGCCCGGCCTGTCGCTGCGGCACCGCCGATCGCGGTCCCGAGCAGCGATCAGTTGTCACCCCCGCCAAGCGCCGACGTGGCGGCCATCGGAATGTCTTCCCCAGTGGCGAATGGGGCCAGCAACCAAACCACGCCGAGTCCCCCCGATGCCCTGGCTTCTGCTGGCTCTGGCGATGATGCTCCTCCAAAGTCCCCGGCCTCGGCCGAGCCTGCGGATGCTGCCCCCACCTGGCAGCCCTCCTCCGCCGAACGGAGGCCCACAGGTCGGCCGATCCCCCTTCCGCCAGTCTCTCCCCTTCCCTCGAGCAAGCGCCCGCGCCATGACAGTTCGCCTGGGCAGCCCCCTCGCCTGGACCGGCACTTTCACACACCCGAGCGCCCCACCCGGCCTGCTGGTTCTCTGGCAGTGAGCACCCCCCAGCCTGGCGGGGCACCCGTCCCAGGGGGGGACCTCGATTTCACCACCCCCCGGCGCTCGCAACTCCTGTCAAACCTGCTGGCCTTCTCGCCGATTGAGCCCAGCCAGGTGCCGGGGCCTGATGGCATGTCGCCACTGGACAACATCTCCATCCCCCTGGCATCGTCGGATCTCAGCCCCACGAGGGCTTCCTCCCCGAGAAGCCAGCCGCCGCCCCCGCCGGTCGCCTCGCGCCCGGCCTCGTCATTGGCCAAACCCTTGCAGCCCGGTACTGGGTCGGGTTCGACTTCGGTCCCGACTTCGACCCCAGCTTCAGCCCGGGACCTGGGCCCCGCCTTGCCAGCACTTGCGCCCGTCATCTCGCCGGCCCTGCAACGGCGGCTCCCGCCGACCTCCTTCCCGGGCACGGCGTCGCCACTGTTTGTTCGGCCCCGCCCGGCCCCGGCCACATCCTTGCAACGCCGCGTCGGGTCGCTGGCGGCCGTGGTAGCCACCGCGTCCGCCGAACCCGCCTCCCCCAGTCCGATGACTGCCCTGGCTGCCGGCGCACCATCCGCCGCCGTCGCCGCCGCCTCCTCCTCCTCCTCCTCTTCAGATCTTTCCCCTGTACACTCACAGCAGGACCACCGTCCATTTGGAGATGATGCTGACGATGGTCTGTATCAGCACCCGCAGCACCCGCAGCACTCGCGGCAGCAGCAGCAGCAGCAGCAGCAGCAGCATGATCATCTTCATCAGGCTTTGAACTTCCAGACCCCAGGCCCGGCTACCCGGCGCTCGCGCCCTGGCGAGCCTGCCAGCTTGTCGGCCTTCCCCCCGAGCACCTTTGACACCGTGCCTGCTTCCCTCACTCCAGGCCACCCATCGCTGCTGTCCACTCGCCACGGCAATCACCACACTCAGGGCACATTTGGGCCTGAGTTCCTGTGGGACGCCCCGGCACCTGCCCCGGGGACCCCGGTTCCGAGCCGGACACCCGGCCCTGGCCCTGTTGGCGGTGCCCCCAGGCCGGCTGCCACGTCGGATAATCCCTCTGTGGGGATGATGGGCGGGCATGCGCCGCGCGGAATTGCCGGCACCCCTGACCTCCGAGCGCAGCTTTCTCATCGAGACAGAGTCGCCATGACCGGACACTCGATTGATGCTCTGCGCACCCGCCGGCAGGTGGATCTCTGGCCCGCACGGGTGGTCCTGCAGGGGCTGACGCGGCAGGGTCGCCGGCTGGGGTCGTGGGCCGGCTGAGTCGCCGGCATGTGATCGGGTATCATTGTAATACATGTGATACACATTCCGTCATCCAATATTACCCGACACCACCATTATACCCGGAGCACGGGCAGGTGAGACCATCTCCCTGGGGCGATCCCGGCAGGGGGGGCGGCTCTTGTGTGTCTGGTTCCCCCGCCCGACCACACACACACATACACATACACACATACACACTCACGCCTGGCTTCCCACCTTTCACTGTCTGGAATGGTACACTTACGGGGCCCGGGCAGCGGGCGTGTGGGGTGTACACGCATTGTGCATGGGTGCTGATGGGTACCCGAACGTGTTTACAGCGCGCCAACCAGGGGCGGCGGAGCCGGGCAGGCGGGGGATGTTCGCCGCATTCATGGTCCCACTTGGTTGATCTCCCCTTTGGGAGAAGGAGCCTGGGGGGTGGGGGTGGGGCAGCAGCTGTTCTGGCGCAGGGCGCGAGGTGTGCTACGGCACCCCTTCTTCGTGGGCCTGGCCTTTCCGCGCTGGGGCCAGTGTCTCGATGACTTTGTCAACAAAGTGGCATTCCAGACGGTCGAGGGGGGGGGGGGAATGCCCCGCGCGTCTTCTGGATGGCTGCCGCCCTGTGCAGCCCCCGCTCGCGGAGCGGCCTGATCGTGCGCGCGTGTTTGGCCGCTGGATCCCCCCGTCGGGCGGGGGGTCCTTTCTCCGGGCCCCTTGCGGGCGGACTAACCCAGGCCGGCCGGATGCGGGCAACCCCGTTGGCGGCCAGCGCTTCGGCGGCCACGGCATCCACCCCGGGATGCCGGCCACGGATGATTTCACTCCAAGCCACCGGCAACAGGTATCCCCCGCTCGCCCGAGGGAAGGGGGCGCGTCCTTCCTGGGCCGGATGTTATTGCCTGATCAGACACCCCACAATGACAAGTCGTGCCCCCCCCCCCCCCCCCCCCCCGCTGCCGGTCTCCCACCCAGGGGGACGGGGCTAGACATGGCCGTGTTCCAAATCCAGGCGCGAAGGATCCCCCACACAGGGTCGAGATCGCGCTGGGCCGCCGGCCCCGGCCTCTAGGCCCTTCTTGCGCACACACATGCATATACATACATCCACGTTCCCGCCACCCGGTCCCTCCCCCTGGTCGCCACTTTGGCACGCACTAGGCCCATCCCGACGAAGGGCGGCGACATCGAAACCCAGCTTCTCCGGTCGCCTCGCCGCCAGGGCTGGCTCCCATACGGCTGAGAGCTTTTCGGCCGCTCGCGCTCGCGCGAGCCTCCAGCCGGCCCTAGCCCGATCCTCCCCCCCCCCC